TGTTAAAGCCCGCGGATTATGCGCACGGATTATGCCCTCTAGATTTCCTTTCTTAGTTAGCGAACACCTACGCTATACTAAATCGAGCGCGGATTGTGCATAATCCGTCGCCTTATATTGGCTAGGTAGCTACTATAGAAAAGCAAAAGTTAAACCTAATAAAGATATAGATTTAAGCCTAAGAGATTATTAGCTACTAATATTAAAGGTAATTAAGATAAGATTTAGAAGACGCTAGAGAAATAGAGGAAGAGGCTATAGGTAGGTAGAAGAGATTAAATTAAAACAAGAAGAGTACTAGAGAAGATATACTAGAATAGAAACAGCCTAAAGAGATTTCGTATTTAGATTTCTAGGCAGAAGTTTAGCGTATAGTATATTTAGATTAAGTAGATAGAACCTAGCGATATAATAGGTAGAAGAAAATATCTAAGAGCTATTCTCTCTTTCGTGCTTAAGAAGAAAAGAAAGCCTTCTTCTTAAGTGTAGAAGAGATATAGTAGTAAAACTAGTAATATAATAATAGGCTAAACAGCTATTAGGCTTAAGAGTCGGTACGCTAGAAAAAGCTAGGTCTAAATAGCGTTTAGATAAACAATAGATATATAATATAATTAACTATATTAAGTACCTATTCTAATAGAAATACTAATTACTCTACTATAAGATAGGCGTATAGATAGACGTTCGGAGATAGCGTATAAAGAAGCGTGTTAGCTAGTAGTAAACTCGGCTAAAGCTATAGCTAGAGAAGAAGTAGCTAATATAAAGACTATAGAGCACTTTATTTATTTAATCTTAGAGCCTAGAGTATAGTTCTAGAGAATTAAAATAAGAAGCTCGGATATAGAGATTAAGGCTAGATATAAGGTACTTCTAGATAATAAGCTAGTTGTAAAGATAAGCAAAGTTTCTTTATTAGATAGTTATAACGTATTATAACCTTATTAGACTTAATTTATTAGCTAATTAGAGGTAGAGAAGTAGAAGGCTCTTCTCTAGCGGCTCGCTTTATTAAAGTATACTTATTCTTTCGTAGCTTCTTTCTCTATATACTAAATACTATAAATTTAATTACTTATAACGTGCTTCGGCTCTAGTAACGTACTAACTACACTTTAAGGTAGGTAAAGATTTATTATAGAAAGTAAAGTAAGCCTCTTCTACTTAAGAAGTCTAAGAGGTACTATAGTAGAGCTGTCTTTTAGTTCTCTCGTAAGATCTATTAGGCTCGAGATAATAAAGTAGTTTAATAATAATAATAAGAACTATAGCTTTAAAGAGCTAAGAGATCTTATCTTAAGAAGTAGGCTTAACTATATAGGCTTTAATAAGCTAAGAAGAGGCGTATTAAGAGAGAGAGAAACTTAAGAAGATAAGAGAGAAGAAGAGAGCTACTAAGAAGGCTAAAAAGAAGCGCTAGAAAGTAGCTCGCGACGCTAAAAAAGCTATATAACTATTCTAAAAGAGTAAACGTAAGACTTTATAAAGCTCTACTTAAAAGTAGAAGTGTTAGAAACGTATTATTATTAAGTTATCTTATATAGAAGCTAAGGTAGCTATACTAGCTATCTTAACTTAAATAACCTATACAGCCGCACTACTAAGCTTCTAGATAACTATAAGTAGCTTAAATTAATTGTAATAATATAGTTACTATAACTCTATAGAATCTTACTATAATAGCTAATACTAGTAGTGTTATAGCTTTATTTTTAGAGTCTTCTTATTTTATTAGATAGCTTATTATACGAACTAGCTTACCTTACGTATAGGCACTATAATAAACAACAGAGCTATTAAATAGTAAATATTACTATTACTTTTATATCTTAGTCTTTTAGTTACGTTAGAACTAAGAAAATCTTTTCTAGTTTTATAGTCTAAGGCACCTATTTTCGATTATAAGTAAATACATAGTACAGCACGTGTGTCGGAAGCTAGCTACGGTTCTAATACTAGAAGTGTTTATTATCGTAAGCTACGCTGCCTAGAGTAAGGCAAATAAATACTATAATAAGCTTAATAACTTAGTAGCTTACTACGTTAACGTCTACCTCTATTTATACTAGAAATACTACTATAATAATAGCTAGGCCGATAAGCTAGAGTAGCTCTACGTACCTAGCGCTAGGTTCTAGCGACTCTAGCAAATATATAAACCTTAGTGCCGGCACTCTCTAGCAACTCGTACGACTATAACAACGATTATAGGTAGGTTAGATAACTTAAGTAACGTATGTATACGTTAGAATAATAATAATAAGATTGTTGCAAGCTGTGCAGAATAGAACCTTATTATATAATACCTTACCTAACACCTTAATTGCGTTTTTAATTACAAGAGACTAGGTATATAGTTTTCTTTTATCTTAACTTAGGCTTAACTAAGCTTTAGAGATTAGAAATAGCATATAGCCTATAGATATAGTAGTGTTTTCTTTATATAACAAGTCTACATTAGTAGCTTTAACGTCTAAGCCTACATCTACTTAAATCTACTATTAAACGCCCTCTTTAAACACAAAAACGCTTTTAGTACCTTTAGTAGGCGCATGTCTATATTATCCTATCTCTCTATCTTATTATTCTTATTATCCTAGACTCTAATTAGAGCCTAGACGTTTGTTAAGGCTAAGTTATTGCCTTCCTGTCCTACATTTTCGTGGCTTCTGATTGTTATGTTATCGTCCTTTAATTCTTTATGCACGTTGCTACTGCCTTTTAGATTAGTTGCGCCTGCCTCGGATAGTAAGAAGAGTTTTATAAAGTTAGTCAAAGCTGTTATAATCGTTGCGAGAACGAGAGAGAAGTCTGGTTATTCGTTAGCAAACAATTATAAATGTTCTGGAGGAAACATACCGTTTAGGTAGAACTAGACATCGGACCTGCGGATCTTATTTGCTTTCTCTAGGGCGTTCAGATCGCTATGCTTGTAGAAGTTATACAAGTACGCGTTGAGTGGTACTGTAGATTCCGGATAGACAGGCAAGTATGGCACAACAGCTTCTTCCAGAAAGACACTAGAACGTACAGTACCACAGATATCGGAGATACTATCAAATTCGTCACCATGGCCCGAAAGTGAGACGAAGTGGGAACGAAGAACTGTATGCTGATTCGCACTTGGGGTCATGTTGAATTGCTCGTCCGACCGACCAATTCGTATCCCACTCAGTGGCAATGCGTTATCCGGATCCTTTAGATGCTGATCCGCGAAAGTTTTGACATAAGTGCAGAATATTGCCAAGGTTTCGTTATTATGAGCTCGGAGCGTATTTTCCGCTTGCTTTGGCAACGGCGGTAAGAAGACGATCGAAGGCGACCGCTTCACAACCTCCTCGACAAACTCCCCATCGATGCGTTTGCATTGTTGCCGACCAAAGATGTGTGACAATACAAGCATAAGTGTTGAACAAACGTGTTGGGGATTGGAATCAATGCCTTGACAGAGATCATGGAAGTAGCCAGAACTGAGGAGTACGTGAAAGGCCCAGGCGGAGTTCTCGATGTAGTATAAGTGAGTGACACACCCAGCAAAGTTGATTGGCGAACCATGAAGATCCAGCAAGGACTGGCGTCGAAGATACTCGATTGAGAAGCGAAGATGGTGTAAGACAGCCATTTTGGATTTGGGGGAGCCAAGGTAGAGTCGAGGCTGGGAAAGAATAGAGTTGATTGTACGAATTGCGAAGTCGGAGTTGCTTGAGCCATGGAGCAAAGTGGCTAGCCGCAAGACCAGCGATGTTGTGATAGGAAAATGTCCGTTCAGATCTGGAAGTCTTGAGCTCATCAGACGGAACACTCTTTTAACAGGGATTCCAAGAAACAGGATATTCCCAAGTAGGTCAAACCCTCTTCGACCAGCTCGACCAGCACACTGGCGGAAGTTGAGCGCGGTAAGGAAGACAGAGTCTCCAGCGAAAACTACAGTCTTACAGGGCATATTGATGCCCAGCGCAAGAGTGCCTGTAGCAATTACAACTTGCAGGTAGCCTCTACGGAAAAGTATCTCCACCACTTGACGATATTTCCGATTCATACCTGCATGGTGGACGCCGATGCCTCGGCTCAAAGCACTGAGAAGCCATTCTGCGACGCCTCGATCGCGAAGTTGCTGCTTGTATACGTTGAGCTCCGATTGCAGCAGTTTATGCATGTTGGCGAAGTGGAAGCCATTGATCGGGGCACGAGGATTGAAACCATCCCACTTGGTATGCTCTGTAGACGCGGCTTCGCGTTCACGGTCCAATCTCGACACTCTCTCTTCATCGTCCTTCTCTCTCTTGTTGTCGCCTCTACCCTTAGCTTTCATTCTGGCTGTGCTCTTTCGATCCTTGGACTTGGCCTTGATCACTTCTTGGTCTTTCTTGAACCTTTCGAATGCCGCAAGTTTCTCTTTCCACGAATTACTCGTGTCTTTCCAAGCTCACTCGTTCATCTCCAGTTCTTTCATTACATCTTTCATTAGCGTTTCACACTGACTACGATCGTAGTTGAAAACAATCGCTGGAAGAGCGTTCTTAGCATGCAGATCGGCAAGCGCTGGAAGAATGATCGAAGAAAGGCTCTCTGCATTGAAATTCCTGGCTTCAAATTTACCACCAAAATTGTGTTTCGTGCTGAGAAGGTAGCGGGGCGCGGGCTTGACCAGCGTTTTGCTCAGATCCTGCTGAACTTTCTCAAATGGCGAGCCTCCACAGTTCATCCATTCCAGCAGCGTAGCCTTGAGCTTTTTCTCCCATTCGAAGATGTGGATCTTTTTAATTATATCCGGAAGTGCGTCCGGGCTGAGGTTGAGTGGAACAACATACTCCTTTGTTGCGTGCTTTTTCATCGTTTGCCAGAGCCAAAGACAATCCCGAGCCTCCAGATGGAGATCTTTCGGCATTCCTCGAGATTTTTTATTCAAACTCGAGACAGGATGGACGAAACAAAAGGCTTCCATTCCGTCTAGGCCTGGTGTATGGATAGGAGGGCTTTCCGGTAGACCTGTGAAGCAAAACTTCTTTGGAGGAACGTAGATGAATTTCCGTAAGTCCGAGTATCGGTGGTGGTGCTCAATTGTGACAAGTTTGTTCCCATTTGCTTCTTGAGTTGACCCAAGCCAGGTACTGAACTCCTCCGGATTTCTAACAGTTGTAGAGAGGGCTATGATAGGACAAGGTGACTGCAACAGCAACTGTTCCCAGACCACTCCATCTTCTGCTTGACCAATGCAATGGATTTCGTCGAATATTATCCGCTTGATCCGGCAACTCCAAGAGTTTTCCTTCTCAGCATTGAAGAGAGCTAGCAACATAATCTGGAGGATGTGGGGCACGGTCACCAAGATCTGACATCCAGTAGCGTTGTTGATTCGATAGTCCCGTGTGTGGATGGCCCAGACCGATCTCCCCAGCCGTTTGAAGGACTTGGAAAAACGTGCTTGGATTTCAGCGGCAATTTGATTGACAAGAGCTTTGGTCGGTGCAACGTAGACGATGACTCCATCTTCATCATTCGTGAGGACTTGCTTCATCGCATAGAAGGAGATGAACGTCTTGCCAGCACTAGTTGGTGCAACAACGAACAAAGAATGGTTTTCATCAATCGCATCAAGAACCTTGCGCTGCCATGCATCGGGACGGAACGGAACACGTTCGTCTATAGCTGAGCCAATTTCCCTCTCAGGATACGGTCCACAATGCTCCAACTGGAACATCTTTGCGCCGTCTGGGATGGATAATTTGTTGCGGTTGATGGAGGCAGACACAGCAGCGCTCGAGATCTTTGCCTCGTTGAATGCGCAAGTGAACTCGAGTGGCCGGCTGGTAGCCTCCGCCTCGTATTTGAGCGCAGGGAGTTTCAAGACCTTCAAGATCACTTCTAGGGAAGCCAAGATCTCTGGTGTCATTCCTGACCTCGTCTTTAGCAACTCCAGAAGTGTGTTCCAGATTAAAGCTGCAAAGCTTCTACCAGCTTCTACAGCTGTGCTTTTATGACGTTCCATCCAGATCCGAAGTAGGCAGTCTATTGTGTATAGCTCCACTTCTGGCTTGATCAAACTGTCATGACGTAATCTCATGGAGTAATCCCGGGCTGTGAGGTACCGAAGTTGCAGATTAGATTGACAACCGAGCTCCTTACACTTCACTTTCCAGTGAGCAGCGTCGATGTTTCCTTTGGATTGAGTCTTTGCTGCCTTGATAGCGGCTGCCGCCTCAAGAGCCATAGTCTTCCCACTCTTCTTTATCGGCTTGCTCATTTTTTTGCCACCTTTCTCGAGCTGGTTCGAACGGCCGGGTGCATCCAGTACAAGAGCCTTTTGTGTTTTGGATGGCTGTAGTCTCTGGTTCACAACGATAGTTTCAGGCTCCAAGACTTTCCCAGCTGCATTGGTAAGGCTGGCTGCATACGCATGCATTTCAGCCATATACAAATCATTCCGACGGCGACCAAAATAACCGAGCTTCTGTGCCGCCGTCTTCAGTGCAAGCGTGTTTCTGTGATTGTGCCAATGCGATAGCTCTTGGAAGACTTTGGCATTGTTATGTGTTGCCCCGTTTGAGAATCTTTCATCCAGCTTCAGGCCGACGGGAGCAAGGTGCTTATCGAAGACAGCATTCTTGAAAGGGAGAACAGTCTGGCCGTTGCTAGGAACTGAGTAGCGATACCGGGCCGAGTCTTTGGAAACCTGATAATCGGTGGTTATACTCATAGGGAGTATTCCATCAAAACCATTCTTGGAGGCCTCAACGAATGTATCACGCAGGCTGTCGTATTTCTTCTTGACAGCTTTGTTGGCTAGTAGCGTATTGCGAAGGCAGGCATCGTGGGTTAGAGCAGCAAGCAAGAACCCATCGAGGAGATCTGCAAGATTGACTGGGAGATTCAGGACATCGAGCTGCTCAGACAGTTCCTCATTACGGAGTAGGGAAGCTGCAGTTCGTGCGAATGAACAAATGAGGCTTTGAGCAGTGTTTTCTGTGGTAGTTGACGGCCTCCGGTTTGCAAGCGGGAAGTACTGAAGTGCAGCAGTATGTAGTAGGAAGGCGGAGGCTTCGTCACCAGATATTGCGCCGTGCTGCATCGCTGTACGGAGGACAAGGACAGTGACCACGTCTCTTTCCGACGGCTCAAAAATCCCTCCCAAATTTTCCAACGCAGGGCTCTTGATGAAGGGCACATTGTGAGAAGCTGCGGCGTAACAAAATGGGTCAAACCCCTTCTGGTCCTGTTGTCGTGAGGACTCTAAAATCACAATCATCGCCTAGGACATTGTTAGAACGAGACATAACGCGACAGTAGAACTGGAAGACATACCTTACTGTCTGCGCATTGTAGTTCATTGATCAGGGCAACATTGTACCGATTACTTATGAACCATTAGAGCACACTGAGACAAACCAAATTCAGCGGCGCGGGTTTCTAGTTTCTGTCCAATTGTTGCAAGCATATAGACGAGACACTACAGAGATGCAATGCAACTCTTCTCGCGGCTTAGCAAGAGAGGGCTACCTGCGGTCTATATAAAAGCATACCTAATCTCTCTTCTCTACTCCGTCTTACAGTGTTCTTACGATTTTCTTGTGGGTTTGATCTTATCGATCTATCACTTCACGCTATCTCTTCATTCTATCTTCTTCTTAAGAGCTGTTAAGCCTAGGATTGCTCTACCTACATCGAAACAAAAGGCTTCCTAGCAAGAGGCCCTCAGCACCTACCTAGCCCCCTTCTATACGAAATACATCATGGGCCTTTCTTTTACAAAGGTTGTAATAAGCCTTCTTACAATTACCCAAACGCTATGCACAGCACAGATATACCGCCACCCTTATGCACAACCCAACGCTGTACTAGCGACGAATTTATCTTTATACGTAGCGGCAGATTAAGGAAATGCTACTTATGGAGACAAGCACGCCTTGCCTGTTAAACGCGCGCGGCCCGCATGTTAGATGCAGTCTCTGGGAGGTCCTTGGGGCACAACCATGGTGGACGCGATCGCAGAGCCAGCCAACTTGTCCTCTATTATGTGGTATGCTTCTAAGGTAAACACCTCTTTCAGGGATCTACAAAGCCGCGACAAGGTTATTTGGCTGTTGAGTAGCTGCAACCACCTGTTCGTATCTATCTCTTGCAAGGCGATGCATATCGCTTCTTTTCGACCCTGAACGCTGCAACAGTAGGCTTGCGTAGGCGCGCGTGAATGTGACGAGTGTAGGCAAGATGGGCGTTAAGCCTTTGAAATACAATAACGCTCTTGCAAGTAGTACAAAAGAGGTAACTATATTTGTGGAGGTAGGTAATAGGCGTTAATATTGTAGGAGAGGGCGTAGAGGGCGTAGAGAGCGTTGTAGCGCGTAGTAAGGCGGTAGAGAGGCGGTAGAGAGGCGGTAGGGAAGGTAGAAGAGGCGAGAACAGGGTAGAAGGTAGATTGCAGCAGGGGGGGGAAAAGAGAGGCGAGAACAGGGTAGAAGGTAGATTGCAGCAGGGGGGGAAAGAGATGCGAGAACAGGGGTGTGGAACCCGCGCTAACGCGACTGACAGGGAGCGGAATCTGCGCTAATTTAGAATCGCAGTGGAATTCCGTGCAGTCGCTTAGAGGTAGGAGTCTTTAGCGGTATATGCTACGAGCCTTAGGAAGTCTTCGGTCGGGATACGAGAGAGTTGCAAAGATGGCGGAGATGCAGGTAGCGGCACAGGCAGTAGAAGCTGTCGAGGTCCCGGAAGGCCGTCGCGACGCCATGCGAGTGGATCTCCAGACGTTCCAATAACGCCAGGCCTATCTTCTAGTCGAGGGCAGCCTCTGCTCTGCCTGTATGCGCCGCGCTCCAGTGGCCCTTCGACGCATGTCGACGCATGCAAGCTCGAACGCTGCCCTCAACTCCTCCGTATCGTCTTGAAAGTTTGTATGTTGTCCCTCACTCATGCGCTCGGTCGCCGCTGTTGTCTTGCCCGCTCTCGATGTACTACTCGCGTCGCGTAGGTTGACCATATGTGCGACGCGCTCGTCGAGCGTCTTGCGCCTGTTCATACGCTCCTCCAGGTCCTTCACATTGTGAGAGTAGCGCAGCCTGAGCGCTTTTGCTGCCTGCGCGCGCGCATAGAGGTAGATGGAGGCCCGACGATAGAGGCTGTGGACCGTACGAAGCTCGATGGTTTTGTGGATGCGCTTCTTAGCCATGCGTCGCAGCGTGCGACTCGTCCATGCTAGGGCGCATGGTAAGCATCGACAAAGGTATAGCAGTATGGTGTTGAGGCGCAATCTTCTCGTGTGGGTGTGGGTGTGGGTGTGGGAGTGTCAAGAGGCAGTGCGTTTCGCCGCGGGGAAGCCGATAATGACGTCGCGCTAGCGCGTCAGCATTCACCTGGGCACTGTCACGAACTTGGATGCGCGCTTCCTCATATAGTCTATACATTGCAAAACGATTGTCCAGATATACTCTGTCGCCAAATGCGATACTAAACGACACTCCGAAACGCCTTTACTGCGATGCAAATCCCGCCCAAGGACTATCAACCCTCTCGCCGAATGCCGCCGTGTGTCATCTACTGGCCATTCGCGTTCTTGTAGCAAGGAAACCAGCAATTAAAGCTCTGCGTATTCGGCGCACTCCCATCGACGACCTTGCAGAAGCGCGTGGGTTGCCGATTCGGGTCCGATTCGGGGTCGGTCCATGGACCACGACCGTTGCCCTTCATATCCGAGTCCCAATCGAAGAAGTTGACGTTTGCGCCGTTTTGTCCCGGTGCGTACTCAAACTCCAGCTTGGTACCAAAGTTGCCGGTGCGCTTTACCTGCAGATCGTTGGGAAGGCCCTGCAGGTCGCACGTGTCGCCGTTGTTGGCCAAGTTGCACTGAGCTGGCGTAAATTCCTTGTTCTCCCAGTCACTGAGCTTGATGTCCTTGATCGTCGCATCGCCGTCGCGCGTGAATTCGACGCCGCATTGGTAAAGCTCCGCGTAGGCAGTGTCAGTCAATTTATACTTGTTGTCGTCGCCATTGCGGTTGTAGTAACTGCTAAGCTTGCCGGATGCCCACGTCTTCTCCGAGAGCTCGAATTGCATGCCGTCGGAACCGCAGACACCCCTCGGGTTTGGGTTTGGCTGACAAAACTTGAGTTTAGTCTGATCAGCACCAGTGATGTCAAAGTCCACGTCGAAGAAGTCGTCGCGGACCATACCGTTGCTTGTTACAATGCGACCCAGCTTGCGACCGATGTCTTGATTCTCGTCAGCTACCATGCAGCGTAGACTGTTTGGTGCCAGTCGGTTCGGATCGTCGAATGGTAACTGCTGAGACATTGCAGGTGGCCATTCATCACAATCGTATTCACCCTGACCTGCTGTCTTGAGGCTCCACTTCTGGCTGAATGGGAACTCGCTACAAGGGCTATAGCCTCCAGCAGAGCACCCAGATGCCTGTCGATTGTGTGCTTTCTCTAACTCGTTGCCTTTGGTGGGCCCGACGTACACGATTCTGCTTGGATTTTGGATACCGGCGGCTGGGGCCTATCGCAGACACAAATCAGTTCGAGTTTAAAGAGAGTGAGATGGCAAACACTAACCACGCAATTGATGTAGTAACAAGCATTGTTGCAAGCACCCTCTCCACCCTTACAATTTACGGTCTGTTTGCCGAAATCTGTCCCAGCGCGCTTCACAAACATTCTGTCTGCCCTTCCGGGTGCTACTATGTCGGGCATGTTGTTGCCCTGCTCCAAGCCCATCGAAGCCTGGAGCAGCAGAGAGATGGCCACGATGTAATGCATGTTGGGCAACGGAACGGACTTGTTTGACGAGTAAGGTATTGGAAAGCTCTGGAGGAAGTCAAGAGCGCAAACTGCGTTCGAGATGCGAGAAAGAAGAATATTTATAACGGAGAGAGCTATGAAGCTGGAGAAATGTGCTGGTATTGAAGAAACATGAGTAGGATGTTCCAACCTCTTTTATACCAGTGCGAGACTAGGTCTACCTCAGCGCATTCTACCCTCATGGTCATGGACTTCGATCCTAGCGGCTGTATTTTGGGGGCTGCATAACACGTTCCCACAAGACACCATACTCTCATGGTGCTCATTCTCAACATAGTACCCAGGCGTCCATCAGCGTAGACTTGAAAGTCAAACTCTGACAGGTCAAACAGCCCCGGCATGTCTTGAGTGGGAAGAACGCCTGACCACTTCGAGCAACACGGCCACATGTGTAGGTAACTATAATATCTGGAAAGGTGGATCGTCGGGGGGCTAGGAGCCGGGCGATGGTAGGCATAGTCAGCGTGTACGAGTGATCGTGGGTCTGTCTACGTTGCCGCCAACAATGTGCGACAAGGCTGAGTACATGTACCTCGAAAAAGATTGCGATACCCCCACAACCATGCTAGCGATGCAGTCGTGATTCGCCGCGTTGAACGTTTCGGACTTCCGAGATCCTCGTCTTAGCTTACGGTGCAGCTGCAGGTCAAGAATAAGGTGCGGCGCAGCTGCGCAGCGGGGGGCCTCGCGTAGGCATTCGCTCCGCCTCACTGCATGCACCTGCGAACACAAGTGACGTCAGTGACGAGTAAGACCATTAAGGCCGCGATTTCGTCGCAACAATAACTCCGCAGACTTATTAGCTTTCTCACTCTCAAACCCTAGCCACAACCTTGCACAAGGACTATGTCTGACCCTCCCTACGCGCTCTTCGTCCTCGACAAGAGCATCACTAACGAGGTCAGCAACAACGAACCTCTCGAACACGTGCGCAACACTAACAACTACAGTATCTCAACTCCGTCCTTGAGCGCGCCTACCATGGCGACGGTGGTGTGGACTGGGACTTCTGGGTCGCGACCGGTTCTTATGACGACCTACCCGCATGCCAGGAAGTTCACAAGCCCTCTCCCAACGGCGGCACCGAGCCGCCTGTCCCATCCTCCTTCGTCTCGCCCTGGCTCGGCAAGATGCCCGAAGATTGCGCAAAGTGGTTGCAAGCGATGCCACGCGCCGAAGACACGGATGAGAAGAAGTTCAGGATTGACACGCCCGTGAACGACCAGTACTTTGTTTTCCTCAACGAATTCTCGAAGGAAGAAGATCTGGTCTTCGTCGCGCGCGTTGTCGAGGAAGATGGGGAAGAGATGAGAGTTGAGTATTTTCCGCAGTCGACGGACAAAGTACAGAAACAGATGTGGACGAATTGGCAGTTCGACGAGAGAGCGATCAACTACCAGCGCAGGCAGTTCAGCAACAAGGAGCCGGATCGAAGTCAGTACAAACAGCCGAAGAACTAGAGGTATATATTATCAAACTTTCGCGCGGATGAAAGAGGCTGTTATTGCATACTTGGAACTTGATGGCAACGATGGATGATTTCCTCTCTCTCCTTCTATTTATGAGTCGCCCTTCATATTTATTCCCAATTCCGTCGTTCCACAAGAAAGCTCAATTTGTGCATTGCGCAAGCTCCAGCCGACCGCAGTCGCGCCAGCTGGCAACTGTAGTGTAGCTGCCGTGCCAGTCGGTATGACAACCGTGAAGGCAACGCTCGCGCCGCTCAACGTCCACGCCACCTTGATTGGTCCATTGGGCGTTGGCACCGTCCCACTGACTTCAGAATGGTTCAAGAACCCTATCATGGGAGTGATAAGAACCGTTTCGTACCCGGGAGAGGTTGGAGCGACGCCAAGAAGGTACTCTGGCAGTACATACGTCGGAGCTGCACCCCACGGATGCGCTAAGCTAGTGAAGAGATCGATGCCAGGAGAACCATCGGGCTTTACGTATTCCCAGCTCGCGCCAGAGGAATACTCGTTCTTGTTGACCATGCTACCCCACAAGTTGTCGAGCAGATGCTTGATGGCAGGTGTGCTGTCTACTCCGAAGTTGCGCCTTGACTTGAATAGAGCTTCCAACAGAAAGCCTGATGGATTGGGAGCAAGCTGGTAGTCGTCTGTCTCCACGTCACTCGAGATGGTCTTGTAGCCTACTGCGAAGCGAAGCTCCTCAAGCTTCGCAATGGAAGATGCTGCTTGGGTGTCGTTGGCCGCACCAGATAGGATTGCCCAGGCGATACCGGTCAAGGAGAAATTGCCTCGATCGGTGGTTGAGAGTGAGTATGTTCCGAGCTGATCGTTCCATAGCTCACGATTGAGGGCCTCGCGCAACTCCCCTGCCGTTTGGATGTAATGTGTCGAAGACTCTTCGTCTCCCATCGCAAGTGCAAGTGGCGCGATCTCCTCAAGCATGTAAGCGAAGAGACCGGTCGTTGCACTACCGTTGGCTGGCCCCAGGAAGCTGAATGGCGATGGCACCTCTGGAGAACCCCCAATGAGACCAGATGAGGGATCAATAAAGGCCAATCTCGCGATCGCAAGTTTCTTGATCTGATCCCAGTGAGGGCTCAGCCCGTCGCGATCTCCAGTGTAGCGGAAGTATTGGCCGATTCCCGTCAAGAATAGGTCTTGGTAGTCCACCAACCCAGCGTAGTTTGCGATATTTGCTTCCTTGTACTGGGGGCGGGCTCCAAGGTTCGTAGAGATTTGGGTAAAGCTGGCGTACGGGCCATCGTCAAGCTGAAAGCTCAGCGCGTATATGATGGTGCCCAAGAGGTAGTCAAATCGAGCAGACGAAGCTGCGACAACACGCACAGTGTGGTAGAAGTCTCCTGTCCAGACTAAGCGATCCCGTTTTGCGCCATCAAGGCAGACTGAGTGTTCCAGAGGTGCGACCTGATACTCGGCCAAGGTATCTTCGCTCGTTAGAGGATTGCGATATATGGTAGTACCGTTTCCAGCAGTGACGGTTACGTCTTTGTAATATGCGATCTGGTCTTGCATGCCTCCGAAGCCCCATGTGCCTTGGTATCGAGAAGGTGTGCCAAAGTTCCCGGGGGGTGCAGGTGGAGGTAAAGGTACGAACGCAATCTCGGTTCCATTTACGCTCACCCGATATCCGGTTTCCTCAATTGAGGTGCGCACGCGATACCACGTGTTCTCCTTGATGGTTGTGTTGATAGTAAGGTACTGGGCTTCTGGCACGGATAGTGTGCTCTGGTTTACTAGACTCCATCCAGTCGTGAATGCCAGTGTGTTTGGAGGCAAAAGAGTCCGGTTTGTGTTTGCGAACGTGTTCCGCTCAGGGTATTCGGATGTAAGCACGAAGTAAGGCCCAAGTGGCGGCATTGCACTTGCTACTCTCCAGCCAGCGCCGCCTCGGGCGATCTTGACGTTGAATTCTAGCGTGTAGTTGACTGCTTCAACTCCTAGAGAAGACTGCGCACTCGTCTGGCCCCGAATATATGCTCCTTCCTTTGTGATTTCCCACGTGGATGGCGCATTACCGGCATCTACGCATGCCACTTGAGCGACGCGACCTCCGAGGTCCAGGACGCGATTCAAACTCTTATCGGATGTCTGTAAGCGGCCTGGTAGCATTTCAGCGTCCAAGCTCGAGCTTGTTGCGCGAAATCCTAGATGATCGATAGTGACGGAACCATTTGTGATCAACCGTGCGGTCTGCCATCGCTGGCCTCCTTGAACGAAGAAGCTCTCGATGTATCCCGTTTCCGTGACGTTGAAAGTTTCCACTCGGAAAGAGTTGGATAGTCCATTCGAGAATGTCCAAGGCCCATCTGAGAATGGCTCTTCGATGCCGCGGTATTCTTCGCTGTACTTCACTTCGATCTCTACCGTACCAGAGATCGCTGAAATGTGGAAGAACGGGAAGCCGGCTACTTCAGTGCCGTAGTCGAGCGTAACTAGTGGGTTAGCTGGCGATAGGATCAGGGTCTCATTCGTCCACGGCTTCAAGCCCGATGATGAGGGCGCAGATTGCTGTAGGTGTGATTGGGGTGCAATTAAGCCATAATTCACAAAGCTATTATTGTGAGTCAACGGTCTTTTGTATGTATTGCTGGAGGCTTACGCAGTGGTCAACGGGTTGACAAGAATTGTGACAATCGCAAGACGCTGAAGAAGATTCATCGGTGCTTCCGTGCGAGGTGATCTTGACAGGGCATTCGTTGGCAATGCGGCCGGGCCATGATTATAGCCAGCGGTCGTCCGTACAATAACAACTAATGGTCGGAAGGTGGAGAAGGAATAGCCGATGAAATTGTGACTCTCGGTGCAAATATAACCGACGCGATGTAGCTTCGACAGTTATTTGCTGTCCATTGGCCAGTTCAGTCGGAGCGTTGTTGAAACTAAGAGGACCAGGTACCCCGCACGGCGGCTTACCCCACAAAGAATCGTATTTCGTATCTCGTATTGTGTATCGTGTAGTCATCGTACGGGGAACCTTTTCCAATTTCCGTTGTAGGGTACAGCCTGAATGATGCTCAGTTGGGTTCGCAGCAATGCTTGTGGCTGCATTGACGTTGCTTTTATCGTGCTACCACTTTACGCTCTTCGCGAACGTTGTGGTAGCTTCTCTCAGCATATTTCGAAGGATTGTAGCTGCCCTCGCAGACTGCGCGATAGCATCTTCGACGGCTTGCACGTCGCTCATACTGATCTGCAACGTCCCGGACAAGGGCTCTTTAGTTATATCATCTCCTGTCGTGACTGTCATCTTCTTCGTACCCGTGATACCCAAGTCGACCTTCGTGGTAATCGCCCACGGCGTGCTGTACCACAACCATTTCTTCCCGCTGCATGGCATGCAGTACCGCCAACTAATGTCGTGACCCTCTTTCGCTGCACCTTATGAGCCATGCGACACTTGAGAGTAACGTGTCGTCAACGACGGCGACCGCGATGACGTCCAGCTCCGTTCCTGGACATGCGCTCGTTGAGATCTCGAGATAGTCGGTATACTCCGAATTGACGTCTCTCAAGAGCCTCCTGATGGTCATGGAATCTTGCGCGTCGTTCGCATAGCTAAGCACGCCGAGGGAGTGATTCAGAATCTGATGCTTCGACACACCAACCGCTAGTCCCAGTAGCCCCAAACTCAACTCCAGTGGCTGGTTCTCGTCCGTGATGTTCGATGTAATGATGTGTTTCATGTCGTCTACCCGCTGAGCGAAGTGGAAGAAGATCAATCGAAACGCGAGTCAAACTACTTGGAGACCATTTCAGATCCGGAAGCAAATGGTTGGCTCGATGGAAAAAGTCGTGTATGTACCGGGGAGGGAGCTGACCCAAACGACGGCGCCTAAGATCCAGAAAACTTGCTACGCGCGACCTACGCGAAGGTTAACAGGTACCCTGAGGACAACCCTGCGCTCGCCTCTGATGACTTGGAGTGTAGGCAATGATCCGGACATGACATCGAGATGTTTTCGCTGCTCGCCGGCCGTTGTAGCGCTTCCGACGTCAAACCAATGCAGCAAGATCGCCGAGAGAAAGGTGTACGCCCAGATGTCACCAGTGATCAGGAAGACGAGCCTAGAGCCAAAGTGGTAGAGCACACTATTCTTGGCTACATTTGGAGTCGCAAGTATACTGGTTCGCTGCGAAAAAGTTTGTCCCTTATGGAGTCGTCGACAACTCTTACAGGCGTTCTAAGCTGTACCTATTGTCTTCGCGATAGCGACAGGCGCAGTAAGAGAGACTGATATACATTACGCAGTCTGGGCAGCTTGTGCGCGTCTCCATGAGCCAGTATATTCTCAGGTACCTTCTGCGTCTCTTTCAATCACGTCAACCCTGGTGGCACAGCAGCGGCGGCATCAGGCAGGTTGCACTCATCGCAGTCAAATTCGCGACAGTTCGCGAAGACATGTCGCAGCATAGATCAATGCGCGAGCTGGTCGCGATGGTGGCATCGGTTGTCGCATTGGGGCGTTGTCCAAGTGATGAGGAAGGGTTGCGACGGATCCGTTGTTGGTCAGGCGAGTTGTTGAGACGTTGGCACGTGCCTGCCCAACCTTGGAAGCGCCCGAATCGCCCACATCGCCGCATGCAACTTCACGCGAACGCAGCAGGTTCACAGTCATCGTTTGACCCGGACGATTGATCCGATATACTTGGGTCTTTGGAGGATCATCTCAAAGAATACAGCTGTCACGGCAGGGTCTTCTAGTTTGCTAATCTGCATTGCATTACCACTACCACATGCGAAGTCTTCTACATGACTTCCTAAATTCGGTACGATCAAAGATACAAGATTGCCGCCAACAGAATGCAGGAAACCAACAGACCAAATTGCCCTGCGTAGGACTGTACCGCTGACCCTACGAAAACCTGACGACGCTGCTGAGCCTGGTGTTGAGTCGGCACACTCTGAGGATTACGGAAGACATTATCAGGATCGACCGCCGCCTTGATCTGCTGTAGACGTTGCACATTGCCGCCCCAGTAGGCCTGCTGAGGGTCCGCAAGCTCAGGGTCGACGTAGCCTGGGTAAGCGCCGTTATCGCACGTCTCCTTCTGCACTAAGCTGCTAAGGCCAGACAAGAACGTCTTGGACGCGTCAGTGACGGGGCCCCCAAGATTGACGACATAACTCTGCATGAAGTAGGCCGCGTCGCGGTGCCAGTATGCGGTAGCGGTCTGCGGTACATCGGCGATGGCGCCGCCTTCGAGATCCCAGATAACGAGCCACACGGGCGCTCCCTTCTCGGTGCCATTGATGTAGGAGAACATGGATTTGATGGCTTCGTCCGAAAGCAGTTTGTGACTTGGCGTCTTGACACTCTTGGCATAGAACGGGATGGGGAAGCTGCCGCTGGCTGTCAGGTCTGGGTCGCCGAGTCCTGGGAACGGAAGTTCGCCAACGGTGATGTCCACAACGACGGTTGAGGTATTAGCAGGAAGGATAGACTGCGCGTTCAGCTTATCGAAGTCGGACTTTGGGCCGTAGAAGTTGCCGTTGATGACCATCGAGCCCTGACTGAGAGTCATAGTGCTGGAAAACCGGCGGTCGAGATTCTTCTGCGTGCCAAACTTCTGCCATCTTTGGAATATGCTTGCGAAGGCATTTGCGTCGTCGGCCGCGATGGTGTAAGCGTACTTGGTGATCTCGGTTGGCGCGGGTGCAGTCTTCATAGTGAACTCTGTGACAATAGCGAAAGAGAAACCGGCGCCTCGGATGGCGAAGAACAAGTCGGGGTTTGTGCTTGCACTAGCTGTCACGGCGGTGCCGTTTGCTAGCACACATTGCGCTGACACGATTTGATCGGCTCCCACGCCCAGCTGGCGACTGAGCGTTCCGAGACCTCCAATGGTCAAGTGGCCACCCGTGCCGATGACGGCTACTTCACCGTATGCCATAACCCGCTTGAGAGGTAGAAGCTTCTCGGAGATGTTGCCGAGAAGGTTTCCCTGTGAAAGATGCGCACGTCAGCGCATGTGCAACAAAGGGTGTTCGTTACAGGTGTAGTGTGAGGAGGTCACTTACCGGGCCAAAAGTCACCGTGTGGTCACCCTCATTGTACGAGAAAGATGCCATATTCTTCATATCCACCACCAATGAGCCATTGAACCCTCCCAGTGCTATATACGACGTTCGTGTTAGCAAGTTCTTAATCACAACTCGTCCTTCTGGGTTCAGGCTTACCATAGTTCGCATAGCTATGACCGCCGCTGCGCGCCTGTACTGCAACTCCTGCGGCGTTCGCACACTTCACGACTTCCGATACTTGCTCCTGGGTCTTTGGGAATGAAATCGCGGCCGGAACGATGTTGTAGTTGAGATTGTAGGGGTGTACATCTCCCTGCAAGAACATTGGGTCGTTCGGCAGCATCCAAGTGCTGGTATCGTTGCTGAGGGCCGTTTGGAGGCATTGCACGAATGGGGCGTTCTGGGCTGTAGCAGCAGTCGCGGCCGTCAATACGGTCGCTACCAATAGGTTTTTCATCGTTGGAAACCGATGGTGAGGCTGAGGTATGGTAAGGACTGTTGGTGGGCGAGTATGGCGAAATAGAGAGATGACAAATTCTTGAAGCGAGCGGATGAAGAAGAACTTAAGGAAAAGAGCCCTTAGAAAGGCAGTTCTATCATCTTATGTCGAGAGACTTAGTCTGCTTGGTTTGTCGCCCAAGCCTCAAGCCTTAATCCAGGATGTCCAGGTAATCTTACATACCGCCGTCTCCGATGTCAGCCCTCCATCGTTCAACAACAGTTCCTCCAGTAACCTTCGCACAGCACCGAAAGTAGACTGTGCCTGCAACGCAAACTGCGCTTTGGTACTGGTTCGTACTGGTCCTTGAAGCTGCCATCTGGCAGGCGCAGATTCTCGCACATCTCGAGGCTGCAGCGTCTTCGCACCCGTGGACGTCGTCAGCCTTGTGCGCGCCACCACGATGATGCGCAACCAAGAAACTCACTTTCCGAAAGAACGACCGGTAAGCACAAAGCTGACAGAACGAGGCTCAAGGCGGGCAAAGTAGTGGTTTTACTTCGGTGTTTGGGTTCGAGGTAAGATCAGGGGAACGCGTTCTCGACCAATCACGGAGGATCGCTGGAAAGATCCCCCGCGTTCCACATCCACGCATTGACTGGGCGCTGGCTCTTCCCTACCGGCACCATCCGGGCATTGAATCAATTGATTGCTTACTACGCTAGGTATGCCACGACTGTTTGGCAATATAGCAAGTTCCTTCTCAACCGATGCTGTCGTCGTGTTCAGAGGCTCAGCACTGCTTGGTCGCGTCAGCGCAATGCGCGTCGCACTTGCAAAGATGACGGGCGTGCTCCTCAGCTAAAGCTCATCTCGACACAAGAAAACAAGACTAGCAGCTGTGGACGTGAACGCCGTCGGCCTCGTGCCAGAACCCTAGCCTTAGGCACGCAGCTCTCGCGCCGTATGTCTGACCGTGATGCGCACCCGTCCAGTCTGCTTCTAGTACAGTAGATGGAGATGGACGACTGCGAGGCTACGTAAAGCCAACAACACGCCGCCGCCCATTGTCGCAACAAAACCCAGACGTCAGCTGCAACGAACGCAGTCAAAAGATCGCCGAACTGAAGATGCCTCACCACAACAAAGAAGGACGACAAGCCTGCACGCGCACTCGAGTCGCGTTCTTCTGGGGGATCTCATAACGGGCTCTCCCGTGAGCGTCCTCTAATGCCACCAACCAAGCACACAATGCGCTCCCGGTCCAAACCCACGGCCCGACACAAACGTTGAGCACCGGGCGAAATGGAGCCGACATAGCATAGCACCCGGCGGTGGTCGACAGAACGCTTCCGGTAGATGCCGTTGATGTAAGCATGCCAACATCGGACGTCCTCGTCGGCGGTTGACAGACACGCAGCTAGCGAACCATACATCGCTTTCTTCAAGAATTCTATCTGGTATGCTTACAGACCTTGCTAACTGTATCACGAATGAAAGATGACGAGGGCCAGTATCGAAAGAACCAGATGCGGTATGTTCCGTTTCGTTCTGGGGAAGCAATCATTACATTAAAACCCTGGTTGGATTTTGCAGCTATGAAATGTATCAACTCGCTTTTCTGGCATGACTCCTAGCCTCCTACTTCGCAGCATTCCCCTCATTCGCCTTCTCTGGCGTAGGCGCAAACTTCGAGCGTTCCCTAATCGGGCCACCATACTTATAAAACACAAACGGAATAGGCGCAAGCACGCAAGCCATACCAGCAATGAGCGAGCCACCACCACCGACGCCAAGAGCATCGAACATATACTGTGTGAACAACGGCGCAGCAGCTCCTGCGGCGGAGCGCACAACGGTATTCGCTGCCAACGCGCTCGCAGCGTACATGAGATATGTGTCTGTGAGGTAATTGAGATACGCGACGAAGATGAGTAAGATGGAAGTCGAGAGGAAGACACCGCCGAGCGTGGGAACGACCCAGTGAACGCTATTGTACTCTGCCGACCACGCGAACCAGAACATGGTGATGGGGAACATGACGCCGCCGAGCATGGCTACAGGAAGACGGTCTTCGGGTGTGGCTTTGTAGCCCGCTTCTGCTCTTTTTCTGTCCCTGGCTGTGTTTGCGAAGATGATGGCGCCGCCGATGGCGGCACCGAGGGCAGATCCTATGAGTGGGAGTTCGCCGACGCCGGAGTTCCAGCCGCGGTGTTGTTGGAAGACGATGGGGTAGATGGTGAAGAGCATGTACAGCAGGGCGTATACGACCGCGAGGTAAATGGCCACGGCGAAGGAGATGGGGTCGATGAGGATCTTCCATGGTCGCGTGAGGGCAACATGGAACATGCCTGCGAGCGTCCTGTCCGTCACTTCAACTGGTGCCTTGATCTGTTCATAACCAGGGATCTTAAGGGCGCGTATGCGCTTGGCTTTGTTGCGGAGCACGATCGAGGGCAATGTCTCCGGAATCGTGAACATCAGTATCTCGGTAAAGGCACCCAGCCAGAGAAGGACGTAGAAGCACCATCGCCAGTCTTTCTTCAGTTGTAGAAAGCCTGATATAACGGGTCCGAGCGATGGACCGATGAAAGTCATCATGGAGAAGGCGGCCATTGCATTTCCACGCTCCAGTGGTCCCCAGATGTCTGCCAGTACACCTGGTGCATTGGAGAGAGGAGCACTTGCAAAGGTACCCGTCAAGAACCGTCCCACCAGGAGCCCACCGAAGTTAGGCGTGAACGCGCAAAGGAAGTTGAAGGCCAGGTAGAGCGTAAAGGTAACGTAGAAAATGTATCTGCGACCAAAGAATTCTGAGAGCGGGGCGAACACCAAGGGACCAGCGCAGTACCCAAGAAGAAACAATGTAATAACCAGGCCCCCAGCTTCGGTGGAGACGTGCAAGTCTGTCGAGAGTGACTCGAGCGTGCCGGAAGGGCTGGACGATGCGAATGTGGCGTTCACAACTAGGGTGACCGACACCACGGTGATGTACCATCTTCTTGCGGTGGACCAGTTCTTGGGGTTCTCGATATCATTGGGGCCGAACTCAAGCAACCCTTCATCGTTGAGATGTATTTCTTCGGAAGCTTCTATGTCGCCGGTCTTGTATGGCTTCGCTGTCGGCCGCGACAAGAATCGCTCGAGCTTCTCCATGGTTGACGGGTAGGTTGGGGATATGGGGAGAAGGCACAGGTGGAAACAAGCCTTTCCCCACGGCTTGGTGCGTTATACATAGGACTATTCAAGCCACACTTCTGCGCGGATGATGAAATAGGTTCGGCCGAGGCCATGGTTGGTAAGGGTTCGGAGCTCGTCATTCCGCGGAGGGCGCCAACCGAGCGTCCGCATAAATCCACAGCGTCATCGAATCATAGAGGTCGGTCCAACGTCAGCTCTGACTTTGAAACTGTATGTTTCTGAATTGTAACCCATGAGTTGAACTGCGATGACTCCATTCACACAGATAAGCCAATGCTGATGGGTCAGAGTGGTCGGAGGGTCGCGACGTGAGTGGAAATGTGAAGGATTTTGACGCAGTTAAGCGGTTTTCGGAGATAATGAACGATGACATCAACAGGTTGCCGCGCCCCAATTTCCGGCTATGCTTTTTCTCGTTCTCTACACAGCAGACACTTGAGGCCATCCGTCTTACGCGCACAGCATTGACGATGATGTTCTATAAATGCTATTGTGACAACGAAAGCTTATTGATGGTAGAACCACACCTCTAGGAAACAGCTGGTTGCACAGGAAGATCCTACAGCGTGCCACACAGATTTTAGCTTAGGCGTCCGAGCTAAGGGATGTAGAAAGACGGCGTGTGCGGGACCGTGGAGCGGAAGCGCGGCCGGCTTATGGCTTTGGGGGGTGGATGCAGGTGGATGGTCTACCTCAAGCTGTCGTACTTCAGGCGCGCTGCGAGCCTTGAGCAGGGTCCGCATCGTCGCTGTAATACCCATCATCGTCAGCGCTCGCTCGTCCAGTTAACTCGTACTCTTCAGCGTCTCCCAACTTTGCGGCAGGGTTAACATCAACGTCTTTGAACATGCGATAGAACACGACGCCCGCAACTCCGGCGATAAACGCCAATCCAAAGTACAACCACTGCAAGTGCGGGTCCCTTGCCAATGGAGCGACCAAGATACCCAGCGCACTTCCACCCGCGCTGGTGAGCAGGAAGAGACTCATAATGAAGCTCTTCATGTTCTCGGGTGCCTTCGCATATGCCAGTTCCAGGCCGGTAACACTAGCCAGGATCTCGCTCAGTGCGATTAACACGTATGCTGGGGCTTGCCATGCGACGTGGACTTCGTTTGGTTTGAACTTCCCTTCGCTGATCTTTCCGGCGTCGCAGTTCGATGGGCTGAAGTAGCAGGGTGGTGCTGCGTAGATCTTTGATTGGAGAGCGCCTGCGTATAGCATGGCGAGCGCGGCCATGAGGAAACCGAGAGAGATGCGTGTTATTGGCATCAATGCGATGTGTAGTCGCGTACGAATGAATGGATAGACGAGGCGGTCCATCATCGGAATTAGGATGATGATGGTGACGGGATCGATGTTGGGAAGAATGTCGTTCGGAAGGCCATGCAATTCCATTTGACCGGCTTGCGAGACGAAGTTGTTCAGCATCTGCGAGTACGAGAGCCAGTAGATTGGGAAGAACAAGAAGACCTTGCATGCGACCAGCGCGGTCTTCAACTCGTCGATGAACTTGTCGTCCCAAGTCACCTTTGACCTGCTTCTTCCGTGCCCTTGAGCGGATGCTTTCGCTTTGTCAAGATCTCCGCCGTTCCTTGCGGCGATGTATAGGGCGCGAAAGCAGTTCCCAATCACGCCACCTTGAGGTGGCTTGATGATGTACTGCTTCCTTCCTCTCACCAACACCACATAGCCCACGCAGAACATAACCAATGGTAGAAGATAAGCACTCCAGAATCCAACATGCAACTCCAACATAGTCGTTGCGATCGCAGAGATCGAGCCTACATTGATGCACATGTAGAATATCATGTAGATCCTCTGCACCGTGATCTCCGGATCAACGATGACGCGCTTTCCTCCGGGCAAGTCCTTGACGAAAGGTTTGTTGGACCGCACTTGCTCCGCGATCAACGGCGACACGTTGCTCTTGATGCCACCAGTACCCAGGCCGATAATCAGCATCGCGACAATAAGTCCAGGGTATGCGGCTCCGCCTCGAACCGCCCACGGCAAGCTGGTAACGAAGAGAATCGCGATGCCGACCATGTACACCAAACTGAACCACTTAATCGTCGCATACTTCCCAAGATATTGGTCCGCAACAACGGCGCCAAATAAAGGCGTGAGGTAGCACCAGAATTGGAAGAAGTTCGTCGTCGCTGTCGCGCCACTTTGCTTCAAGCCAAGAGCGCCAGGTAGGCCATTGGGGTCGTTGTATTCGTTGGCGATGTAGTTCTGGAAGGGCCCGGAGAGTCCGTAGTAGGCGAAGCGCTCACAAAGCTCGACAACGGCGACTAGAAAAGCGCCATATGGCAGCGTGTCTGCTATGCGAGGCAGAAATAGTAGATCCTCTGCTGTCGGTATGGAGCCAATATGAACAGGCGCTTCAAAAGGAACGGCATCCGCGTCTTCATTTGCGACGTCTTTGCCATGTACTATGAGCTTTGCACTTGCAGTCTTGGTCTGCGCAACAGTGGTGTATGCACCCCGCTCTTCACGATTCTGTCGCCAGGATGAGGCCATCTTGAACCGTGTTGTTCGATCAGGTGTTCTTTCGTTATGCTTTCTTGGTGCTTGGTTGTCCTATTCGCTTGGTTGAGCGCCTCCTCGTTAGGGCGATCAAAGCCTCTTGCTGCTATATTGTGCGCGCACGCTCATGGCATGGTCAGAAACGGTATCGTGTCCATGACGGCGTGGTATTGCCTGAGTTGGGTGGTCTAAGCCGTGAGTTGATGGGATTGGAGATGAAGACACGCGTTCGCGGCCTCGGGAAGGTGAGACGGTGCTCGCGTCCGGTCTAGGCCGGATTGGTGGCTGAATACCCCACAACACATCACAACCGTTCAAAGCCATGCCTTTCGCGATCGCAAGTGAACTCGCATCAAATCTAAACGCAGTTAGGGCTGACAGCTATCGCGGAATGGGCTTGCTACTAATGGGCAAATATTGCCTCTGCCAAATACATTCGCTCAAGAAAAAAGGCCCGTAGGTACAGTGATTAGAATCGCAATCGTCCTTCGAAGCGTACTCGAAGGGTTCACGACAATGCAGCGAAAGCGAATCAAGGTCTTCGCATCAAACGCATTAGATCGAGTGCCGACCGTAAGTACCCCCGCCCCAACTACCTCTTAGCAAATCAATCCTCCTGCGTATCGGTAGCCAAGCCCCTCAAGCCACCATCCCCTCCTCTTCTCGAACAGCCCCCTACCTAGGCGTAGCAGGCGGCGTCATCATCCCACCTCCACCTGCACCCGCAATCATACCACCACCCTTACTCGCCTCACATTGCAACATGTGAAAGGCCCTCAGCACGTTCTTGTTCTCCGAGAACTCCTCCCACGCACTCTCATCATCCAGTATAGCCGGCATCCTCATCCTCACGCATTCAATGATGGCTTTGCGCAGTCCACGGTCTTTCTCTGGGCATTGTTCGTGGTAGATGCATGTAGCCAGGTCGACGATCATGGGAGGATCGGTTATGAAGGGAAGGCGGTCGATGATGGCTTCGGCGGCGCGGCGCTTGATGTTCTCGAGATTGTACTAGGTGGAAAATCAGTATGAAGGTAGGGAAAGAGAGGTACGAGAGCAAGTACCTTATCTGCGGCGATGGAGAGATCCAGGAGTTGATTCATTATGTGTTCCTTCTCGATTTCCATACGAAGCGCGAAGTTGGTGAAGATGGAACCAGTGATGGAGTTGTAGACGCCGTACATCTCATCGAGAAGTGTTGAGATGACTTGTGCCGATTCTGGGAGCTCGATGGACTGCTTCGCGGTCTCTGCGAAGCCACCACTGCATACTGCTTTGAAGTAGTGTGACTCTTTGCAAAGCTTGACGCGATGGACGCGGAATTCACTACCACCTGCAATAACAGTGAAATCCGACCACTCGCACGTCTTCCGTAGATGAGGCCACTCGGAAGCATCAGCCGGAGCCGTCATCCAAGGCTGCGCAACCCGGCTCGTGAAGCCCTGCTGTTCCATGTCGAAGTCGGGCTTCACGAATGCAACTTTCCTACCACCAATGTTAGTTTCATACCCGATATCGAATGTGGGAGGATTCATACTGTGGGACTTCATAGCTGTAGAAGAAGTGGTTTCCAGCCGCTGTCGCAATATCCTCTAGCACGTCAAGAAAGCTGCGAGCTCGGTCCGGTGACACAAACTCCAAGTCTAATTGTACACCCCAGAGGAGGACTGAGACCTTTTTGCTCTTGTCGCGCCAGGCCGCTGCGCGGGCGGTCTTGGCTTGGAATTATAGTGGCTCATCTGGCTCTGGACCCCACGCAACGGACGCGATGTTGGGGGTGAAGTATCTGATGAAGCCGAGTTCCGCGTTTGCGCGGTCGAGGAAGAGGGTTGCGGGGCCGGTTATCTTTGCGCCTTTGCCGGTTGCGAAGGATTGGAGGAGCCAGGTCGCTGACGCGGAGTCTGAGGTGGGGGGCTTGGGGAAGGGAGGCATGGTGATGAGCTAGGTCGAAGACGATGGGATTGATGCGGCGATATGTGGGATAACGAGTCGGAAGTGTAAAGAGGATGGAAGGATCAATGTACAAGACGACGAATGAAGTAGAGTATGGGAGGGGGTGCTACCAGTACCCGGAATCACGGTGATGAGTATAGCGGTATCGTTAGCAGTGAGCAATGAGCGATGAGCGGGGATTGTCGGGATGGTATCGCAAACAGGAGTCCAAGGGTCTGCCCAATCAGCTTACTCGATTAAGCCACTATTTGTAAGTTCAGCGTGATGGTGAAAGATGAAGAGTTGTGTATCAGCTGAGTCCATTGGGAGGGGTATGATGAAATCGATTGTTGCATTGCGACTCCGTGCTATCAAAGCCGTGGGTAAAGCCAGGCTATGATCAGTTCCTTTGATCATTTTAAACCGACACTCGGTGCCAGAGGTCATGTCGGGATATGTACCGCGCCCTTGAACGCCGATGACCCAGATGTTGTACAGTAAATGCGAAAAGAGATTGTTGATACCGCGTAACGCCGAGCTTGAGATCGAGCTCACCAGGTCGTCGCGACCTGCGGGTATTCCTTCTTGCTTATCTTTAGGTCGTCATAGACAGAGTCGTCACCTAAGATTTGATTAGCATAGATCACATTTGCCAGCGACTGAACAACTTACCGTGAAGATGCTCGACGCGCAGCTCATCCTCATGTTCAAGCTTCTCAATCTCCTCTTGTGGAGTCTCCTTGTCATGCTTCTGGTCCTTGGTAGTCGGCTCAACGCCACTCTCCATCTTCTCACCGATGAGCAGGATTTGGCAGTACTCATAGTCGAGGTATTTTGGCTTGACTTCGACCCAAGCCAGTCCGCGGAACTCGTCGATGAACCTGGTAATGGTCAGTCATGAACGGGTAGTCACATTGAAATCACTTACTCCTTGGGGAAGTCGGGCTTCTGAGGAAGCTGGGCGGAAGCGGGTCCGCTGCGCTCAGGGTTCTTGACGCTCATGACGAAGCTGCCCTGGTCCTTGATACCGAGGTCTTCCTGAACTTCTCCAAGCTCGGAAGGGATGGTGGTAGAGTATACGAGATGGCAGGTCCGGTCTTCAGTGCGCGTGATGGCATATACGCCTTCCGCTACCGGTGCCACAGGCTCGGTGCGTCGACTGCCTTGTGTCTTCGTCTCGTACTCGTCCGCACCAAAGAAGCTCTCCTTCAGCTCTTTGATGGAAGTGTTCGCCTTTTCGACAAATGCCATAAATTTATCATTGTGCGACTTCGGGAAGACCTTCTTGGGTAGAGCAAAGAGTCGGATGTTGTTGTCGTCAGCGAGGGCACCATCGCCTAGCTTGGCTCCGGATGGCATTGGCCGGAGGACGAAGAAGGTGCGTTGAAGGTCACCGACGCTCTCGGATTCCTCGACGCCGACGCGGTTACGGGTGAAGAAGTAGATGACGCCCTTCTCGAGAATGTTGGATGGCATTTGCTTTGCGCGCTGAGAGGACTCCTCGATCGCGCCTTCGCCGTCTGCGCCAGTCTCCTTTGTCTCGTTATCCGCTTCCTCCTCGCTCTTCTCTTCCTGTGTAGTCTCTTCGGCTTTGAGGGCGGCGTTGGTGTCTTGTTCCGCCTGGTCGTCGGTAGTCTCCATATCAGTTGATGCAGGCTTGTCATCATCGCCATTAGCCAATGCCGTCGCGTCGCTCGCGTCGACAAGGTCTTCGGCGGCTTTCTTCTCGGCCTCGTCTGCATCTTTGGAGTCTTGACCCCCATCAGAGGCGTCCTTCATCTCGCTGTCAGACTCCTTGCTGGTATCCATTGTTTCCTCGATAGTGGCTTGCTTCTTGGACGCCTTGCGATCGCGCTTGGGAGACGGCTCGACTTCGGGCTTGCGTTTGGTGCCGGCTGCGACATCGTTACCCTTTGCTGGGCTGGAGCCACCGTCGGTGCTGCGTGCAGAGGAGCGTGTTCCTGCCATTGTGGATGCAGTGAGGTCAATTGAGTGAATTGGTGTAGATTATTGAAGATATGAGTGAAAGGATGAGAGAAGGATGGGAGACAAAGCAAAGGAGTAATGAAGGGGGCGGATGTTTGCGCGCGCTGGTGGTTTGTGGCAGGCGCGTCGCGTGAAATGGTGACGTCAATGGCAGTCATTAGCACATCGACGCGTCAGGAAGGCACGTGCAGCGTTGGACCATGAGACGGAAGCCGCGAGCGGTCATGAGCGATGATTTGAGAGCGCGTGAAATACCCTCGCGCATTCACGTGCTTGACGTAGCAAACCTATCGAAGCTGATATACAAGGCCTTCGTATCGTACATCCTCTCATCGAACGCACCCCGGTCTACGTAGACGAAGCCACAACGAGGTTTGCTTATTCGTGCCTCTCGAGAAAGGCGTGAATACCGTCGGCGATGCCCTCCGGACTTGGCTTCTCAGCGCATACATCAGGAGTGAAACCAAACTCCTGCTTCAGATAATCGCGCGTGGTCGGACCGATGGTGCATATCAGGATGTCTCTCTGATCAGCAGTAGCCTTGGCTTTCCCAGTCTCTATGTCGAGCAGACCAAGGCTCTCAAGCATGGCCTGACATCCGCTTGGAGAAAACACAACGACCCACTGCCGTTTCGAGCCCTGATCCGCGTTTCTGCGCCAGATCGTCGAAAAGTCCTCCTTGAAAGACTGCATCTCTCCAGTCTCGTATATAACCAACTCATCTACTCTTGCCCTCTCTTTTGGATCCAGCTCTTCTGACTGCAGGGTCTTTGGTATTATATCCCTCCTCTTGTCGCCGACCATGAACAATACGGGTGAATTCGCAACACCCGGATAAAGGGCGTTGTAATGCTTCAAGATGAAGCCAGCGAGAGCTTCACCGTTGCCAGTTTCCTCTCCCAAGATTGGACACTTAAGACCCAGTGATCGCAGTCCGCGAGCGGTAGCTGGGCCTACTACGTACAGCGGCAGACTCTCTGGCAGCAGGTCGTCGATATCGAGGGCGCCTTCTCTACGGATTTCCTCGACAACCTCGCTGAAGGCTTCGACTGCACGCTGCGAGGTGAAAATCAGCGCACCATATGTCGCGAGACCCTGCTGCGATTGGGGCACGAAGCCGCGATTGGTGACATGTTGGCGCACCTCACGCAGGGCATCTCGCTTGAACCTGTGCTCGAGAACGGGCACGAAGACGGGCGCATAGCTGCCGTTGTCGAGTTCAAGGAACAGCTCTTCGTACGTGTCTTTGGGCACTGACTTGGTCTTGAGCAGCAGAATGGGGATGCTGCCCCGCGATTGTTCCGCCATAGCCGTGGTTTGGTGTGTGCGTGGTCGAGGCCCCGAGTGAAGGGTCAAGACTGCGGGCGGCACACTAGCCCGCCCGCTAAACATCGGGAAAAGTTGCCAGCATCCGTGGTTCACTCGAGACCCTCGAATTTAATAGTTGTCCTCCCACCGCCTCCACGCCTCGCCTGCACATTCACGACTCGGCGGTCTACCCAGATCTCGCAGACCTCTCCCCCCGCTGCAACTCCCAGTCAGCCCCTCAACCCAATTGACTGCCCAGCAAACATGGCCGACGTCGCAACTCCACCCGCCGCCCAGGCCTCGACCAACGGCGCTGCTGCCCCTCCGGCGAAGCAGCAGGTTGTCAAACCCGACAAGCCCGACGAGGACAAGTACAAGGAGGAGCTCGCCAAGCTGGAGAAGGAGCACGCCGCCGCCCTGGAGAAGCTGGTGAGTCCATGTCCCCGTGTGGTGCGCGCAGTCGCACGGCCACGAGCTGACGGGTGGCTGCATCGCACACCACCACTCAATTCGGGAAAATTACTAACGACGGCCAGAACGCGTGCAAGGCCAAGCTCGACCTCGCCAAGCCCAACAACAAGGACTCGCCCAACGCGAAGCGCCAGCAGGAGCTCAAGACGGAGCTCAACGCCATCCGCTCGACCCAGCAGGGCAACAAGTCCGGCCGCAACTCCATCTTCGAGAAGATCAAGAAGCTCGACGAGCAGCTTAAGCAGCAGCTCAACGAGCTCAAGACGGCCAAGGGCAAGTCCAACTACAAGTCGGCCGAGGATGTGGACCAGGAGATTGCCCGTCTGCAGAAGCAGGTTGACGGCGGCATGATGAAGCTCGTCGACGAGAAGAAGGCCCTGGCCGAGATCAGCGGCCTCAACAAGGCCAAGAAGAACTTCTCCGGCTTCGACTCCCAGCAGAAGAAGATCGACGACATCAAGGCCCAGATCGCCGAGCAGAAGAAGTTGCTGGACGACCCGGAGAACAAGGCCCTCTCCGAGAAGTACACCAAGCTCCAGACCGAGCTCGACGGACTCAAGGCTGAGCAAGACGAGGCCTTCAAGAACCTGAGGTCTCTCCGTGAGGAGACCGACAAGGCGCGCGCAGTGCAGCAGGAGAAGTACCAGGCCCGCAAGGAGCTCAAGGATAACTACTTCCAGCAGCTCCGCGCATTCAAGAACTACGAGTTTGAGGCTCGCAAGATCCGCAACGAGAAGAGGCGCCTCGAGCAGCTCCAGTACGTCGCTGGCAAGCGCAAGGAGACTGCCTCCAAGCGTCTTGAGGAAGCCAGCGCACCCGCCTACGGCGACGAGATCATTGCCTGCGAGGGCTTGATCCGCCACTTCGACCCCTCCGCCCTCCCTGCGAAGGAGACCACCGCCGCTAGCAAGTTCGCCGCTTCCGCCCAGCGCACCGTCGACGACTCGGGCCTCAAGGGTACCCGCATATCGAAGAAGGACACCGAGGAGGAGAGCTACATGGCCGGTACTGGTGGCAAGAAGGGAAAGAAGGGCAAGAAGGGCGGCGCCGCTGCTAGCAAGTTCAACTTGAACATCGGAATCATCGAGGAGCTCGCCAAGGTCGGCATCGACCCCCCATCAAGCCAGGACGAAGTCCCCGCCACCGTCGAGAAGCTCCAGGCCAAGCTTGCCCACTGGAAAGAGGACCAGGACCGCAAGACCAAGGAGGTGAGTCATTCTACATACCACTGCGAGGATGCTGCTAACAAGTCTTCAGAACATCGCCAAGGCGCAGAAGGAGATTGACAAGCTTGAGGCTGAAGAGGCCGCAGAGGACGCCGCCAACGGCAGCACCGACGCCGCTCGCAAGCCCGCCCAGAAGAACCAGGCCGTCAACGGCGACGCATCCGCCGAGGCTGAGCTTGCACAGGAGAAGGACGCCGCAGCGGACGCTGCTGACGACCTCAAGAAGGCCACGATCGAGGACAAGGAGACTGCCGCCGACGCATAGAGTGCGCAGTGTCAAGCATTGTCACTAGGGGTGTTAGCCTCCTAAAATTTGGGTCATATTTCCGGGACATTGGCATGGTGTAGGATCTAGCCCACATCTTCATTTCTAGCTTGGGATCTTGGAATCGGCACATTGTCCGCTATTGTTACGAGATACCAGCATGGCATGGGACGGGGTCACGGAGTGGAGTACGATGTGTCTCATTTAGACGCGCAGCAGACCTAAAAGGTTAATATCACCATCTCATCTTCAATGTGTCGATCAAAATGACATGTACCACTAAGCATCTAGAACTTGGTCATTAGCTCAAAGAAGCATGACATGACGCAAGACCCTGAGCTACAGACTAGACCATCCGCAACAGGAGCCGGTGCCAGTGACAGCCAAAAGGAGTTACCCCACATACGTAGCGGGGTGGATGTGGTTCCCAAACGCGTGGTGGTGGTACTGATGACATCATTGGCAAAGTCCTACAAAGTCGCGCGACCTTCGCAGCTTCTCTTCCACACACTACCTGCTTAACGATAACTACCCATTATAAGGTATGCTTTCCTCTCGTTTCCTTTCTCAGTGCATCGCAAGGACAGCGCGAAGGTCGCCTCGAACATTGTGTCTACAGAAGCTGACGCCTTCTCCCCAGCTACCAAACAACCACGCCGCTCAACGCGTATTCTTTACAACAACCATCACCATGTCTGGCTTCAGCAACACCGACACCGGCTCCAAGACCGCCGACCCTTACACCCAGAAGAACCTCGAGGAGCCCTCTCTCAAGGAGAAGTGCGAGGACCTGCTCAACTTCGTCGACAAGACCAAGTTCTGCCTGTTGACCACGCAGGCCGCAGACAGCGACCTCCTGGCCTCAAGAGCCATGGCTGTGGCTGCAAAGGTACTATACACCCGATTGACTACCCAAGACAGTGCTGACAAACAACAGGAGGGCCACGGCTTCGACCTTCTCTTCCACACCAACACCGAGTCCGGCAAGACGGACGACCTCAAGGAGCACAAGTCCGTCAACGTCGGCTTCATCAACAACTCAGGCGAGTGGGCCTCCATCTCCGGCCACGCCTCCATCGAGACAGACCGTGACGTCGTCCGCAAGCACTACTCTCCCGCGCTCAAGGCGTGGATTGGCGATCTCGGTGACGGCAAGCATGACGGTGGCCCAGAGGACCCGCGCATTGGCATCATCCGCGTCAAGGTCAGCACTGCACAGTACGCTGTGTCGAAGCGAACACAGATTGGCGGTCTTGTCGAGCTGGCGAAGGGGATTGCGACTGGTGAGGCGCCGAATGTTAATAAGCTGAGGCATCTTGATGAGGCGGAGATCCAGCAGTACAGGTCGCAGTAGATCACGATCATCAAACAAAGAGAAAAGAGATACATTTCTGATGACCACAGAAGTAATCAAATAATAAACATACTGTCTGTCCACCTCGATCCCCTTGTTGCATCGTGACCTTGTTGAAACCAGGGATGACGTCACACAAGCGCGTTCCACCCTAGTCCTTCCGCGTCAAACCTCGGCGCCTTGCACAACTTGAAGCATTCACCCACCAACACCCGTCGCATCCCCCATAACCCCCCTCTGCGCATTTACAATGGAAGACCCAGGTACGTCGCCCCCCTCCCTTCCTCTCCTCCGCCCATCCTCTATCCTCCATCCCTCATCCCTCCAGCGCATCTCGCTAACCAAGCCCTCCCATCGCAGTCAAAGAAATACCCGCCATCATCCACCTCCTCACGCAATCACCCCCGTCCCTGCAGCGCGCAACCATCGACAAATACTTCACACCCGACGCCGCCTTCTCGCATCCTTTTTGCCGCACATGGAGCCGACCGAATTCTAGGTGGTTGGTCGAGCGGACGTATCGGTGGTACAAGATTATGAGTCCGAGGATTGATTGTACGGTGCAGAGTGTTGGTACGTAATAACCCAGGGGTGGGCGGGGGAGGAGATGGAGAGGTGATGGATGTCTTACTCGATCTTTGCACTGCGTGCGAAGACGAGATTTGACATCGAGAAGGTGGTCGTGGACGCGGGGAGATGTGCCAGGAAGTGAAAGAAAGAGTGCAAGGGCTAATTAAGAACAACAGCATTCGACGAAACCAACCTTATCCTATACGCAACCATCTTCCAGATCTTCCGTATTTGGTTCATACCCTTCTACTACGCGCCCGTCCGCCTCACCACTGTCCTCCACCTACGCCAATCTCCCCCCAACTCCTCCTCCTCCTCCTCCTCCTCCTCTCCGTCCGCAAAACCAAAATACCACATCTCCAAACAAGAAGACCTATACCAAGTCGACCAATGGATCCGTTTCGTCGCGCCCGGCGCGTGGATGTTGATCTGGCTCTGGCAGGCTTGGGCCACGGTGTTTTGCGTCGCAGGCACTGTGCTGCTTTGGCCGGTTACGTGGATGGAGGAGAATTGGGGGTGGGGTGAGGGTGTGGGGATGGAGAGTGGGACGGGGCTTGTTAAGGGGTTTCGGATTACGGGGAAGGGGGGCAAGGAGGGCGAGGTTAGGGTGGATGGGTTGGGGGAGGAGGAGGTGCTGAAGAGGACGGAGTTGAGGGGGAGGATCGTGGGGTGAGCTGGATGGAAGGGGACTGCGAAGGGCGTGCGGCTGAAAGTATGTATGATGCACGGTGGGTTGGATCTATTGGATGGATTATAATAGGCAGTAGGCTTGAGACTAGTTCACGTGAACTTAGCGGTACGTTGTCTTGAAGAGTAGGCAAGTGTATCTGTACTATTTTTGCTACTCCTCCGTGTACTGTTGGACATGACTTTTTCCATATAGATGCAGGAGAGATTCTGGATCTCAAGCTAACCCTCTGTCGCTGGGCCCTCGCTTGTATTCGATAGTATTCAAATTTGTGAAGAACGGCGAGAAGGTGCTAGAAGGCATGGTTCATGATGCTCGAGATCAAAGACACCTGTATGTGAAGTGACAGGCGCGTCATGACATGTAGCCGCGGGGGCGCTAAACGAACCACGTGAACACCCGTTTTCCTCCACGCGTCGCGTCGCCCAACCCACCAACACCAAGCTACAATGCCCAACACCAACTCGACACGAGATTTCCACCACCCATACACGCCCTACGACATCCAAAATGAGTTCATGGGCGCTGTCTACACGTGTCTGGAAGAGGGCAAAGTTGGGATCTTTGAGTCGCCGACCGGAACCGGCAAATCGCTGAGCTTAATATGCGGCTCAATGACTTGGCTACGCGACCATAAGCGACGGACGTTCGAAGAAGGCTTCTCAGTGGATGCAGCGAACAGTGAGGAGCCTTCATGGATTGTTGAACACGCCCAGAAGCAGCGGAAGCAGGAGGCGCTGAGGCGTAAACAGGATTTGAATGACCGTATTGCTAAGATTAAAGCGAAAGAGAAGAGGGCGAAGGAACGGTATGAGAGCGGTGAGCCTAAGTATAAGAGACAGAAGACTGCGCTGGGAGATGTTGAAAACAATGATGAAGCGCAGTTTGCTCTGGACGACTACGAAAGCGATGAGGAGTCTCACAAACGAGCAAGAGCCGGCGCGTTTGACGAGTCTGGACTGTCGGCAGAAACCCAGGCTTTGATGGCATCACTCGGGTACAGCGTCGATGCACCAAAAGACGACGACGGAGAGGCGCCTGATGAGACGAAGATATTCTTCTGCTCCCGAACACACTCTCAGTTGACGCAATTCTCTAGTGAGCTGGGGCGCGTGAAGATGCCGCCTGCCATCGCTCCGGACGAGGATGTAAGCGGTCGTGAAATCGACACGCTTGTAGAAGACGTGAAGCACCTTACTCTTGGATCAAGGAAGAATCTCTGCATTAACAGTAAAGTCAACAAACTTGGCAGCGCCACGGCCATCAACGAACGATGTCTAGAGCTTCAGCAAAATAGCAAAAGCGAAAGCCGGTGTCCGCATATGCCGACCAAGGAAAGCGAGCCGTTGGTTAATGACTTCCGCGATCATGCGCTTGCGAAGATTAGAGATATTGAGGACTTGGGGGTGTTGGGCAAGAAGCTGGGTGTATGTCCATACTACGCTTCTAGACCAGCTACCAAGTACTGCGAGGTGAGTTCATTATTCAATTCTGCGATGTCTTCATATGCTAACAGGCTCAGATCGTAACACTACCCTACCCACTCCTCCTCCAGCGCACAGCACGTGAAGCACTTGGCCTCTCCCTCAAAGACCACATCGTCATCATCGACGAAGCGCACAACTTGATGGATGCCATTGCAGGCATCTACTCCGTATCCGTAACCCTCGATCAAGTACAACAAGCGCGTGCCCAACTCACAGCCTACCTCCAGAAGTTCCGGAATAAGCTCAAAGGGAAGAATCGCGTGTATGTTGCCCAGACAGTCCGCATCTTGGACTCTATCATCGCGTATCTGCAGTCCATCGATGCCAACACGAAAGCGACGGACGGCTTAGCAGACATGGCTGCAATCATGTCTGGGAAAGGCGTTGACCAGATCAATATCTACAAACTCAACACGTATCTCCAGGAAAGCAGACTGGCGCGTAAGGTAGACGGATACACCGTCTTCGCCGAGCAAGCGGAGAGTGGAAGCGCGCAGAAGCCAATTGCAAAGTCGGCCAAGAATAGCCCGCGACATACTGTACCGGTCCTGATGCATGTACAAGCCTTCCTCCTGTCATTGATGAACCCATCCAGCGAAGGCCGCTTCTTCTACGCGAAGGAAGAAGCCTCAGGCACAACCTTACAATACATGCTCCTGGACCCAACCTACCACTTCAAAGACATTGTCGAAGAAGCCAGGGCCGTCGTACTAGCCGGCGGCACCATGTCACCGATGAGCGACTACGAGCAGCATCTGCTTTCATACCTAGATCCCTCAAAGATCATGACACTATCCTGCGGCCACGTCATCCCGCCCTCGAACCTCCTCGCTGCACCCATCGTCCGAGGCACAAGCGGCGCTGACTTCGACTTCACCTTTGAGAACCGCAACAAAGAGAAAACGATGATCGATCTCGGCACCGCCATCTTGACGTTCGCACAGCACATACCAGATGGCGTGGTCGTCTTCTTCCCCAGCTACTCCTTCCTCGACGCTTGCATCGTCGCGTGGAAGCGCATCAAGCCCGCTTCTTCAACATCCACATCCACATTCTGGGACAGCTTCACCAAAACAAAGCCCGTTTTCCTTGAGCAGCGCAGCCAACAACAGCCGTCTACATCTACCCAACCACCACCAATATCCAAAGAAGCAACCGCAGACTCCGTCCTCACAGCCTATAGCGCAGCAATAGCATCAGGAAAAGGCCGCGGCGCCCTCCTCTTCGCCGTAATCGGCGGCACCCTCTCCGAAGGCATCAATTTCAGCGACGCACTTGGCCGCGGCGTCGTCGTTGTTGGTCTCCCGTTTCCTAACCCACACTCTGCGGAGTGGAAGGCGAAGATGCAGTATATCGCCGCCAAAACACAAGCGAAAAGCGGCGGCGGCGGCGGTAGTGGTAGTGATGGCAAGGCTGCTGCGCGCGAGTTCTACGAGAACGTCTGTATGCGCGCGGTTAATCAGTGTGTGGGCAGGGCGATTCGTCATAAAGGCGACTACGCAGCCATCTTGATGTTGGACAGACGGTATGGGAGTAAGCGCATTCAAGACAAGCTGCCGAAGTGGATTCGGGGGAGTTTGACGGGCGGGTTGGGGGTGCGGGATGTTGGGGGGAGGTTGGATGGGTTCTTCAAGGGTAAGGGTTGAGGGGGTATGCAACGCGACGTTGGCGGGTTGATGCGACGATACGTTTTCGTCGCACGCGTGCTTTGGTATCTTCGAGGTTTCGTGGCGTAGCGGTGTAGGACAGCCTTGCGGCGGTCAGAGTAGAGCTTGTACGAGTATACGCCGTTGCTTACGCTAAGGATATAGTGTACATCAATGATATACCCGGAGTGTCTACATCGACTTCTACACCGTGCGTAACATGCCTTCTCGACCAATATGCGATACGAAGTAGAAGCGGTCTGAATTGGAATCCGGGTTCTAGAATTGCCACGGCATGAAGGAAGGAGTTTGGAAGAGGTGAAGCCGGGATCACTCACCGGGTGTAATGTAAGCTCGGAGATGCCCCCGGATTCTAGTTCGCCCAAGTTCGTACTCGCACAGGTAATGCTTACACGTCGTCTCCTTGAGGGGTACAATATAAACTCTTGGAATGAGGCCCTACTCTGTCCTCTCGTTGAGTTCATTGGCGGATAGTTGGTCGTGCACTGTCGCGGTAGTGTTGTGTTCGTCCGGTGAGACGGATGTACACGGTGAAGAGACCGCTTTATTAGAGTTTACACGACTAGTAGTTGTTGCTTAGTAGATTCCTTATACGAGACTGCATGCGCACTGGGCACGACGGATGGATATATAAGGCATGGCTTGACCCATGTCTTTCGACTCATCGAACAAGTCTAGACTCATCTTCTTACATCGATACAACAACGCTCACGCTCTGCAGAACAACTACACCTACTTTCCTCTAAACTAAAACCAAAATGTACCACTCTCCCTTCCTTCATCCTCCCACAACTAACCCCACCCAGCCCAAAATGCGCTTCCAAATCCTCCCCCTTACCCTTACCCTCCTCGCCAGTGCCACAACCACCCTCGCCTGCTACCAAACCTCCCGGTGCTCCGCCCCGAACGGCCCAGACATCGCCGTTCAATCCAACGGGCACAACGACCCCGAGCACAACCAAGCGCAATTCACCGTCGCCTTCAAAGACGGGAAGTATGGGCCAGACACGTTTGCTGGCATGGTGAACCATCTACGGTGTGATGTGGTTGTTAAGATTAAGAGCCCCGCGGCGAACGATGCGTTGCAGTGCTGGATTGTGCCGCCGGGGGAGCAGTGTAATTTGGATGTTAGTATTGCGGGGATTTGGTGGAGGCAGAGTTGTAGTTCTTAGGGAAGGAGAAGGTATCGAGAGAGTAGAGAAAGTGGTTGAGAGAGTGGTTAAGAGAATGGATGCGAAGAGAGTGTTGGTAGAGTACCAGCACAATCCATGGATCTGTGCAACCATTCTGGTCGTCCGTGCTCGTCAATTCATACTCCACATCCCCATCTCGTTCTGCCGCGAATGATTGCTCGCTGACCGTGTAGCTTTTGGGTCAACAGCTGGCTTGGATGCCTACCCGCCCAAGTCGATATGTTCTTTGCTCAACGTAACGTGATGCGTCGTCCCTGAAGGTTAATAATGATTGCGCATAATCATTCATCACGCCGTCTTTCTTAGTAACCTGTAGGGCAAAGGCAGTTTTGAAAAGCGACTCGCATTAGGCCCTCGTCGCTCCCTTCCTAAGTACGTCAACATACACTCGAAGCCATATACACTCCTTGGATTCCGTTGGCGCTTTTCTTGAAGACTAGCGCGTGTTATAGACAGCACATTAAAGACAGATATGAGCAGCGAACATACTAGGGCTCTGAACTTCTAGGCGTGCGGAGTTTGCAGTGAATGGAACCGTGATGCGAATCGCTTCCTAAGGCAGATCGGACCTTGGGTGATGGGCGAAGAATGGAAAGAATACCTAGGTGTCTTAGGTAGCCGCAACCAGAAGCTGTGCTGTGGAGAAGCTTACCTAGGCTGATTACCGGTCAACCAGAACTTTGACGACGCGCTGAGCGGGCGAGCGTCGGCAAGAGTATGTCGTAGGTGGATTAGGGCCAAGATAAAACTACATACACAGTCGATGTGTGAGTATGCCAAGAGTGGGTGGGCTCTTCTTCGCACTAAGCCAGAAAACACTTTAGGACCTCCCGAGACGAGTATCCCTGAAATTGCACTAGGTCAACGAGTGCATTAGAACCTTCCGGAACGAGTATCCTTGGCTGCCCGCTGGGGTGCCTTCTCATCCCTCAGCCAATCACTGTCATATTTGCCTAGTGCGCACTCAGTCAGAAGCAATCAGCCTGAGCTCCTGCGCAGCACATAGCTCACGGTCGCGGATTTGGGGACGTGGGCTGGTGACTCGCGAGGCCAATGAGAAAACATGGAGAAGCGGCCTGCGCCCCTAGTTGCAGGACAGCCAGCGTAGAGACATGGGGCTCATGGCTCGTGTATCCAATCGTTCAGCATGGAGACGCGGCCTGGGTCCCTAGTCCCACGGCTGGGGAAAGAGTCTGCAGGGGAGCGCGTCGGACGCCGGTGATCACAACGGTCAGGACACTTCGGTAAACCAAGCCACTCCCTCTCAGCAAATGTTCCACTTCAATGTCAATCAGTGGTCAGTATAAAGTCAAAATGGATTTCGCTCAGCATGCATCGCAATACAACTGTCCAGCAAGCTCTTTCTTTTGCTCAATCGCCGAGTCGCATTCGTTGGACACATTGCTCAGCCCGGCCGATTGTCTTTTGTACTCTTTTCAGACTACGTGACTGGATTGCGGGTAACTGAAGATATTTCGAAAGTCTGTTTCCACTGTCATAAGCAGACCGTATCATGGACTTTAATAGTAACATCCTCTCACTTCATACCTTGCCGTTTACATACTTACCTGTCGGTGTAGATACCGTACTGCACGCGCCATCCTCTTCCACATCCGGATGGTCGAAAGAAGCCATCTTCACCCTTCTCAGCGTCTTCCTTACGATAACCCTCGCCCTCGCCGGCCTCATCTTACGATACTACTTGAACAATGGCACGTTTAATTATCGGACGTCTAGGCGAGGCTGGCGTACCCATCCAGGTAAGCAACATGTCGAAGCGTATATGCGTGATACATACTAAGCAATGCTAGATGAGGAACTACACATGGGCCGATCGGCGATATCTTCCTGCTGGGTCGAACTGGCTGAAGCTCGGCGGCACCAGCAACGAACGTATACTTCAGTCTCGAGCCTACGGAGGGGGCCAAGGTCTTGAGGATGCTATGGATGATGGTAGCATTGTCAATAGTGAGATCGGGTTTAGTCCGGTATTGCCATTCCTGCAGATTTTGGAACATACTTGTATGAACGTATAGAGTTACGCGTAGAAGATACTTGCATGATACAAATTCCTTTCAAAAACCACTTTCGCTCTTTTCTCGTCGTCTGTTAGCATGAGCATCAAGCAATCTAACATCCCGCCGCAGCGCTATCCGCAATGAGAATGACAAGACGAGTGGGTATCCCATCAATTCCAATTCCCAACAAACCCATATACTCCCGAAAACAAGAACGCCCATAACACCCCCCACCCAAGCAGACCTCACTTCTTCCCATCCAAATACCCCACCACATCCCCCGCCCTCTCCAACCTCGCCCTCGTCTCAGGTAACCCCTTATTCAACCTCTGCAGCCCTATAACCGCCCTCTCCCAATTCCTCTCAACCTCATCTTGTCTCTGCAACGCCTCCACACCCGCTACTTCCCCATCCCCATTCGCAGTAGCAGCAGCATCCGTCTCCATACTCTCTTGCAGCGCCGCCCACACCCTCTCCTCCTCCTCCCACCCCTTCATCCACGTCTCCGCCGCAACCTTCGGCGTTGTCCTCCGTTGCTGACTTATCTTCGCAATGAGCGCATCGCGTTTCGCCACAGTAGCAGATAACTGACTCCGCAGTTTATCATCGAAAGGTTTGTATTCCACCGTCTCGACCATGCTCTCTCCTTCCCCTTCCCCTTCCCCTCTTCCTCCCCCTCCTCCAATCCCGTTCCCATCCCCAACCCCATCCATCCCCTCCCCATCCCCACTCTCCACAACATCAATCCCATTGATACTAACATTATGCCTTATCCCCTGCAGCACTTTCGCCACGAAAATCTCAACGAGGTCCTCGACGGAGCGCCGTAGTTCGTCTGGCGCATCGCCGTTTGTAGCGCTGGAGGGCACGGGCGGGAGGTGCAAGTCGAGTTTCTGGCGCGCGGCGGTGCGGATTTGCGATGTGAGGAAGGTTAGGTCGGAGGGGGATTGGAGTTCAATTTTGCGGTGGGAGGTGTCCATTTTGCGGTGGTATGGCGGGCGTGGTAGTAGGTGAGGTTTGGTGTTGCGCGGGCGCGCTGTAGCGGGGTTTGTAGGGTGAGTGCGCGCTTGTAGTTGATTGTACGATTGGCGCGGAAGATTGTTTTGGGGCTGTTCTGGGTAGTAACAGTGTGTTGTGTCGTGGAATGCGGGTCGTCGTTGTGGTGGTCGACTTTGTTATGGTTCTTGTTTGCGAACGCGGAACGCGGACCGCGCGCGTCTTCGCCGGCTTATCAGCCCGCCTTATCGGGGCCGAGGTGTGGGGCTGCTGCATCACTCGAAGCTGCACTCGAACAACGCAGTCGATACAGTTGGATAGAGGATAATATATCGTTAAATGTGGATTGTTTGATTTGAGATACGTCCTTATAGATAATTCCTAAACCCCATGAGCAGCGAGTGAGCGCGTGCCTTAACGTCATAACCCACCCAGTCCAGTCTCATGATATACAGCCCTCAACCCAAACGCCCATGATTCCATACCGAACGCCTATCCCAACCCATATAAACATGACTTCAATACCGCGTAATCCATAAAATGCCAAAGCATATGCACATCCAATATCAGGCGCCAGTTCTTAGGAGAATTAGAGTACCACACAATGTGTAGAGAGCTTTGCAGGATGTAGAGAGCTTTGTACAGTTACACGGCTCTCTACATCCTGCAAGACCCACTACAGTTTGTGTAGTGCCCCAATCTCCTGACAACTTGCGCTTGTATCATGCCCGCGCGTCTCCGCACAGGCACTCCACTCCATCTCACCCACCTAGCCAATCTCTTATGACGGGAACATATTCCGAACCTCCTCATCCGTAACAATAATGTCCTTCACAGGATCCTGTCGTCTCTCAAGATCATCGAAGTGGTAGTCGACGTAGGAAGGAAGGAACATCTCTGTCGCACACATCGTCATTAGCCCAGTTCCACATCGTCCAGCCCGTACCCCAAACCCTCTAAACTCTACCGCTAAAAGAAGAAGAGAGAAAAGAGAAGAGGGAAAACAACATACCCATATTCCAATCAAACCCCTGACTAGCCTTGACACACGTAATCAGCCTAAGCCCCTCCCCCTCCTCTTCTCCCACATTAATAACAGTATGTTCCTGCCGCGAAAACGTCTCGCTCATCAGACTCTGCCTGCGCGCGCCGCTTAGGGAACTGCTCTGGGGGCTACCAGACGACGAGGAAGGCGTGGAGCCATAACTACCACTACCGCCCGCACTCCCATACGAGTAGCGGTTCGACGACGGCGTGAAGTTGTAGGTATAGGTATTCGGTGTCGAAGGCGTGGACGCCGCGAACGAGGATGACGACGAGGACGAGTGGTGGTGGTGGTGAGAAGAAGACGCAGGGCCCTTGCCCTTACGCTTTGGTATCGCGATGGCGGTTGAGGATGACGACATGGTGAGATAGGTTGCTGGGTAGATAGATGGAGTGGTAGGTAGGTAGGTAATGGAGATAAGGACTAAGAAGACCAGACCAGCAGAACAGCCGTTACTCAGTCAATCAAACATACAATTACCCGAAAGACCAGAGAACAAGAAGAAGAGAGGAAGAACAACGAGGAGTAACAGTCATACCCTCGGACACCCCAACCCGCCGTCCGCGGTATAGCCCGCACCGCCCAGTCCAAGTCCGCATCGCGTCTGCCTGACTCCTCTCCACCGCAGACCCCGGACTCGCAACCGATCGACAAGGGCGGACGCAAGTGTGTAGCGCTGTGATTGGCTGCCTACCTACATTCCGACATTCCGCTCACGCCTCACTGTATCGGCGTGGGGCACGTGTGACAGGCACCCGCTCCGCACCTGGCCTGGCACCCACGCACCTTGGTGTCTTGCTTGCGTCTTGCGTCTTGCGTGTGCATGAGGCGGCCACGGGTGTGTTGCGTGGTTGCCATCTCGCATGATGCATGCATGCGTTAGACACCCTACCTAGGTACTGTAGGGAAGGATAGCTGTTATCTATCTGCTTATCTATCTTGATGG